GGTGCCCTCATAGCATATTACAGTATCTTTGGCAGAGATACGCAAGCCTTTGGCAAAAATGCTTTTGCACTTGACTAGTAAGTTAACCCTCATGAATAGGGGCAAAGTTTGGGTTATATTAAAAAATTATTAAACCTTTCAAATGTGAATTTTAAAACATGAATGATACGGAATTAACTAAAATATAAAAGTAAAGCCTAAATATAATATAACTGTATCTTACTAATATGTAACTATGTGAAAGGTAACACTGAGTGCTAGTAAGAATGAAATCTGCAAACAATGCTTCAGCTGTTTGACTCACTTGGATACTGCATGCCAGTTTTAAAATAACAATTGGGAGATCATAGTTTAAAATGAACTCTTTCTATTGGTTACAAACAATCAAATGAAGACATGTTGCATGAAATAACATGTCCAAATAAAATGGTGTGGCTATAAAGGGAGAGAGGAAATTAATCTTTCTTTGATCTCTAACTTAGCAATGAAATTTGAACTAAGAACATATAAACAGTGCTGTACATTGTAAGTGAACTATTATTGAAGTAATAAAAACAAAATGTTAAGATCTGTGATAGCTCTTGCATCACATGATAACAACTTTAAAGTTTTATTATTTAATGATTTCTTATGACATGAAGGAATTCAAACTTATATAACATAAAACTTTGAATTATAATGTACATGATAATGCTAATTTCATTAGAATACATTGATAGTAAAGTTGTATAATTAACCTTTTAATGTAAATCAGTAAAACCTTGTGAGTTGTGCAGACAGAAGTTTAAAAGAGTGTGGTTAAAGTGAAATGGTTAATGAACATATCAAGGCCAAGGAGGTCAGAGGGGTGCCAACAAGAAGGCCCAAATAGGACTGTAGTGTAGATCCAGAGTCCACAAGAATAAGATGAATAAGGGAGTAGGTGTAGAGAAACAAGTATGACCAGGCTTGGATGAGAAAAACAATGGCTAGAACCAAAGAAAGAGGAATAGAGGACTGTAATAGAGGAACCCCAGAGTAGAGAAGGGTTGAAAAGTATCTATGTGAAACATGTCCAACAAAGAATAAAACCTATGGAAGATCTGGAGGTGCAGAGACTACTCTGTAGACAGAATAAGGACTGGTCAAGAGAGAGATGGTTCGCCTAAATGAAGAAAGCTCCCAGCAAAGGATGTAAACAGGCACAGAAGTATACAGTTAGCACCTAAAAACAAGAGCCACAAGTATGGAAAGGCCGTGAAAAAGATCAGTGAACTGCCAGTAGGAACAGGAATGGGAACATGCCCAACATGATGATGGGGAGTGGACAACAGTCAAATGTATAAATGTTAGAAGACCTGCCCCCACAAAAAAATGTACGTCAATCCAAGAGAGAGAAGCATCAAAGAAGGGGAGAAACCTGGTTTGAGAGGTGGTAAGGGAATATAGAAAGTAGGATGAGCAGGGTCCAGTCACCGTGACAATTCCTAGAAAAGGGGCTCACAACAGAGGACAAATGGCCCCAAGAAAGAAAACCCAGGGTCCATTAGGTCCACTGTAGGAAACACAAGTAGGAATACCCCAAATGATGGAAGGGTTCTAGAGGAACCATAGTTCCCAAAAGGGAAAGAACCTCTGTCAGGTTCATAAGGGGCTGGAATCTTTACAATAAGTGTCTGTGACTTTTTAGCAATAAATTTCAACAATAAATGGACAGCACACAATCCACTTTGTTTAAAAACAATATATTGAAAACAAGTCAATGCAAGTCAAAAAAATTAGTTACACTATCGGTTATCACGGTTGTATCCAGAGCTTTAAATAATTGTCTCCTTTTTGTCAAAATCCACACAGGCAGGTACAATTACTTTAGAACACCTTTTGACAAGACAAATTATTCTCCTCTATCTCCGATATTAAAATACAAACAACATAACTTTTAATTTGTCATAGTCCACAGCATCTTCTGACGTCATTCCTGCGTACATTTGTAGGTCTTTTATTGTGAGAAGTGAGCTGAGACAGACTGTCCAGTTGTCTTTGTCCCACTGACAGACTGTCCAGGCAGCTTGAATCGGCTGGCCTTGATCCCATTGTCATTCCCGGGTCTTTCATCTTTCTGTTTGGTGATCTCAATTTGTGCTTTTATTCTTTCTCTCTCTCTCTTTCCAGTCTCTCCTTTTCTTCTTTCTCAATTTGTGGTTCTATTCTCTCTTTCTCTATTTCCAGTCTCTCCTTTTCTTCTTCCAGTTTTTTCTTCCTCTCTGCTCTGCCTATGCTCCTCTAATTCTTGTTTAGCAAACTCTAGTAAATCTATCTGTTAGCCCAAGTCATTCACTTCTTTCTACCCATTTATCAAAATCGGTTGACATGGTTATATAGCATGATTGTAATCTATACAATATTTTTGCCACCATTATAGCTGTGAGTATATAGATCTATTTCTGTTGTCATTCACGTCTATTTCTACTGCTGTTTACCTCTGTAGTATTCTGGCTGGCTCACCAAATTTCAAGTTTGTTTTATATGCCTGGATTCTTTACAGTAGGTATATGCGACTTGTTGGCAATAAATTTCAACAATAAACGGACAGCACAATATGCACTTGTTTTAAAAATAATGTATTCAAAACAAATCAAACACATGTACAAATAAATTAGTTACACTACTGGTTATCACAGTTGTATCCAGAGCTTTAAATAATTGTCTTTTTTTTTGTCAACATCCACACAGGTGGGTTCAATTACTTTAGAACACCGTTTGACAAGACAAATTATTCTCTTCTATCTCTGTTGTTATAATACAAGCTGTGAAGCTCACTTTAGAAATCCCCCATTACAGCTAAACTGACAATCACATAGTCGAACTTCATCTTTACTTTCACTAACTTACTTACTTCTGTATCTGCATGTATCTATAACATGACAGAAATACCTAGATAAAACTAGCCCTCTAGTAATAATATTAAACATAATGAGAAAGACTTAGAAGCTTCGAGTAAGATAACATCAACAATATTACAAAAACCTAGTACAACAGTTAAACTACATATACAACATATGATTCGCACAGAATTACGTAACAAACTTGTCATAACTATTGCTTTTAAAATCATCAGCTTTTAACACTTCTGATGAAAACTAAATAATCATAAAATATTAAAACCCTAAATAAACTAAATACCTTAAACTGAACAGTCTTGTATATCCAACAACCTCTCATGCAGGGACAGAACAAGAAGTGCAAAACTCAGTACCAGGTAAGCCATCGTCAGCAGGCAAAGAAGATATGCTTAACTCGGTGGAGCCAAGAGGAGAAGGAAATGTCATGTCCAAAAGTACCCAACACTGAGTGGGTGTGAGAAAGGACCCAGATTCCAAGACAATTCAACCTTTCCAACTCAGCAGCAACTGTGAAAGGAAGGAGAGAGGAGAAGAGAAAACATCCAAGAGATATAAACAGTCAAAGAAAGGAACACGAATCACGGGTGGTGAATATGGCAAGCAAAAGCTCACATGATAACAAAGGATATGGCCAATGAAGAAGCAAAGTAAAAAAGTATAGAAAGGGAAGATGCAAAAAAAATATGAACTGGACAGAGAAAACAAACAGGGAACAGTCCAAGCAACATTTAGGAAAGTGACCAGCACATTAACCTTGGTTGACTGCAGACCGGAAGAAAAAGACCATAGATGGAGTCAAAGGGAGGAGAAAGAGAGATAGGAAGAAAGGCAAAGAGAGGAAGAGGAGCGAGATAAGAGACTAATCTAGGGAAATGGGAAATTACTGTTGGTAGAAAGTGAAACCAGCAACAGAAGGAGAGAAAGGTACAAATAGAATTGTACATGTGTGATCACAAGAAAAGGGATAAACAATATTGACAGATGAGAAAAGAAGGATTGCCTGGAATCCAAAATAGAAGGGTGAGAAAGAGAATGATCTAGATGAGGAATATGAGTATAGGGTAAGTTTGATAAAGAGGAAAAACTTAGAAATAAAATGAGAATAGAAGATGTATATTTTCAGAACAAGTCACCAGGTGTAAAAGAACACCAAAGAAAACATCTGAGCAAGAAAAGGGAGACAGATAAAGTGATAAACGAAAATTAATGAAGAAAAGAGGCAATAGATAAAGAATACACCTGAGAATGAAATCCAATAAGAGATGGAAAGGTTAAGGTCTTTTAACGAATGGTAAAGTATTATCCAAGCAAAGTAGTTATAGTACACAATCTAACAGATAATTCCTGTTTGAGGAGAAAAATAATTGGTCAATGTGACAGGAGTTGGAAGCCCATGAAGCATGTGGTACCACATGTTGAGCAAGGGCTGCTATGATCCTGATAGTTAATGGGCCTCCAAAAACCACAGCAGAAATAAGGCCCAACTGTCAACATCATCACGACTTTGTATAAAATACCCTCATTTGAGAAGTCAGGATAAAATATCAAAGCTTTTGAAACAAAAGCTAAAGAATAAAGCAAATATCATTAAATTGAACAGAGATGAGTCAATACAGGGCTAAGGATAATAATGATGATTCATGAAGGCAAATTCACAGGGGGTGTTAGTGTGCATAGAGACGTGTCGCCCTCCTAGTAGTGGAGAGCTTTTACACAAATTATGTGAAATAACCTGTAATTAGATAGTAGTTTTCACAAAGATGCAAGTTTCCTTGGCAGAATGTGCAGAACAGCAGTGGCAAGTATTTGTTTCAAAATTGAACTTTTTGCATAATGTAGCTCCTCTTTTAATTCTTTTTCTTTGTGAATATACATACATTGCTATTTGTCATGAGGTGTGATGATAAGTTTATATTTCATATACTACTTTTGTTCCTTGATATGCATAGACTGCCTTTCATTGGTACAAAAGAAGAAAAACTTAAAAAGTTTCAGCTCTACATTTAGTTCTAGCACTTCAAGAGTAATTTAAGTTTCTTATAATACAATTTAATCTTCAGTTATCGTAAACAGACAAAAAAAAAGATTAAAACAGTATTTTTTCTCCATTTTACTTACCTAGGAATGAAACCCATTGCAGGGAACTTGGGAGGGCTTGAGCAGCAGGATGGGGGAAGTGTTGTTGGCATAAAACCAGAACAGAAGAACTCATCTTGAAGGATTTCTGTGATGTCAGGTCTGTCTGCAGGCCTACTTTTCAACATTCTGAAGATCAAGGTGCGAGCACTTTCAGATATGTTCATCGGCATACAATAAGAATTGTTACTGATACGTGAATACGTTTCATTCAAGGTCGTAGTCTCAAAGGGAGGATGTCCTACCAGCATGGCATACCTAATATATATAGAATTATCAACTATACTTTAGATGTACAACATTTCACGTGTTTTGATACTGAGAAAAACGTCACCAGCAGTGTTGTAAAAAAATAAAATTCAGTTGAAATGCCATCATGCACTCTTCTTTACAGGAAATCTGTATTGGGCCACTAAAAACTAATATGATTTAAATCATCATCAGTCTTAAACAAATCAGAACTGTGAACTTTGTAAGCACATTCAACATAGTGATGGTTTGCAATAAGAAACTGTTTTAACAAGAAAACATCTCAATTTTGCATCATTTAAGTGTTGAATGAAACTTTGTATATTGACTAACCAAGAGTTAAAAACACTGCCATGTTAAAAGATAGTGATTTACAGAACTTTATATTACAACAATGAAGTTGATTCCATGTAACAAATTGACAAGAGGTTCTTAACATCATAAAACAATCCATATATATGAGTATAAGAAATTCATATTATGATGTACTTAAGGTATATAAATTTCCAACATGTATATAAAAACTTCTATTAGTTACAAAAAGGAATCCAATGAGTTGAAAAATGCTTATTTAGTAATTCAGCAAAATTAGTTTATACACAGGCACACAACATTAAGTTTGTATTCTGAATTAATTATGTTTTTGTTGTTTTTTCATTAATGAACAATCCATATAATACCAGAAGTTTTCTAAACAAGTTAAAATACAATTGAAGAAAGTTAAAACTCACATGATACAGCCTATTGCCCAGATATCCGCTTCTTTACCATGTCCCTCCATACTGAGAACTTCAGGAGCAATATAATTGGGTGTTCCACACACAGATCTGTTATAAAACAAAAACAAACTTCATAAGTAAATGGAAGGGTAACTCACTTTTGATTAAAATATGTTCTACTAAAATAAGTTAAAGACTTTGTTCTAACAGACAAACAAAATCAAAGTCATGATTAGTAATGTATATGATAATTTAATTCTAATTATCAGTTACCAAGTATTATATTATTTAATTTTAATATTATCAAGTCTAATTATTTTTAATTATTAATTACTTTTATCTTTTTCTTATAAATATTCTATATTTACTTATTCGTATTGAACTACTTCAGTAAAGCTTTATATATCAACTGCAAGATGTAACCCTCCGTCAGATCGTTATGGTCATGACAGAGTTTTTACCTGCCAATGACACTGGCATGTTGTCAGTGAGCACATGTGATATAAAACTAAATTAGTAACTATTTATTAGTTATATATCATATATCTATATATACAAAAAATGTAAATGTTTGTTTGTTCAAAATCTTAAATCTCCGAAAGTTCTTCACCGATTGTTTTGAAATTTTGACACAACGTTGCAATCGAATACGCGCATTTTTATACACCTACTATTATATAAATGTCACATCTGTGACATGTAAAAACAGGCTTTTTGAAAAACAGCGCCATCTGTTGGACGTAAAAGCAACACCGCTATACTAAATATTTTACAATTCCATTTCAATGTTTCCGACTTACGATCCATTTACGATTTCCAAATTTCCAATTTTACGATTCCATTTCAATGTTTCCGATTGCATTGTTAAATTGAATTTTCATAGATTTCGATTTATTTTCATTTTGATTTAATTATTTCGTGTGACATTGCGTTGGAATTGAGCTGTGATGTTTACCATATCGTTCATTTCGTGAGTATAGTTTATTTTTTTTACTGTTTTTCATTTCGTTTTTTTAACTT